TGAAGCACTGTTTATTTTCCCACAGCCGCTCTGTTTCACAGCCATGCTATATTACTGTGAAGCAATAACTGGTTTCCTTCTCCACCATATCCCGACTTGGGGTTTTTTGTTGGCGCCAGAAGCCTTTGGCTTACAGTAAAGGCATATGTAATCTCAATAAGTCATTAAATATACTTAATTTCTGGAAGGCCTAGCGTGCTTTCTGATTGGAAAGCTCTTCCCGTGCAACGTATCAATACTAACATCATAAACACTTTTTAGTACCTCTCTGTCCAGGGGCCCTCTGGGAAATAACAAAAATAGCTTTAGGTGCCAAAGATACACTGAAAACTATTTTATTTCATTTTACGTTTAGGGTTCAATCAAAAGTTGTCAGGATATTTGAACGCTTAAAATAGGACAGTTGGTGATGAGAAACGATTTGGCTATTCGCCGAAAGTAACAAAACATTTAAAAATAATAATAGATAATGTGATGATCAAGAACCTTAGCCCACAGCTGGCCGGGCATGGCTCAGCGGTTGAGCATCGACCTAGGATCCAGGAGATTAAGGTTTGATGCCCGGTCAGGGCACATGCCCGGGCTGTGGGCTCCTGAACAATGAGTCTCATCATTGATGTTTCTTCTCTCTCACTCCCTCTCCCTTCCTCTCTCTGACATCAATAAAGATATATTAAAAAAAAAAAGAACCTTAGCCCTTTTGTAGGTGAGGAAGCTTTGTTTTCTTAATTAAGGAGATAGTAAAGTCAGCATAAAGCACAGAAAGTTATTGTGATAAATCATGGAATCAGGTTACACAGACTAACCCTTCATGTTGCAGGTAAAGGAAATAAACAGTAAATCACTGAGTGTCTTGTACTGTTCTAGGTCCTGGAGATACAAAATGAATGTGACATATGCTAAACCTTACAGAAATTAACAACCTAGGTAAAGAAACAGGTAAGACAAAAGGGATTGAAGGGGGCAGGGGTTGCTATTTAAATATCACATACCCTTTCTATGTGTTATTTCTAAATAACAAAACCTTATTTTGTTGGAGGGTAGCTATGTACCCAGATGAAAAAATTAATTCCCCAACCTTTCTGAAAGGCTATCAATGTGACTAAATATAGGACAATGGTATGTGGGTGGAAGTTGTTGGGTGGGGCTTCCTAGAACGCTTCATAATTTTGTCTGTGTGTGTACATGCATGCCCTGGTGTGGGGGGTAGGAATAATGGTACCTATGAGGCTACTAAAGTCAGGGGCCCTTTTACATCACCTTCCTACACATTCTCGTCCAGGTATGGATGTGATGGCTGGAGCTACAGCAATAATGTTACATTGAGGAAAATTTGAACTAGGAAGGCAGAGCTTGATCTTGCAAAATAGCAGAAAGGTAAAAGGAGCCAACATAACAATATTGAATTGCCTACCTTTGGATTTCTTGTATGTGATAGAAAAATAATGGTTTTTTAATGACTGCTAAACACAACTGCTAATTGGTGCATCATATAATTATAATACAGTGAGATACAGGGTCTAAAAGAGATATGTATAAAAATCTATGACTGCACATATAAGGAAAGGATGAGTTCTGCCTGAGAGAAAGGAGATTGTGGGGGGATTCACAAAGGGAGTGACATTTGACCTGGGCTTTTAGAATATGAGCAGCTGTCTACTAAGCTGGGAAAGATGTGTATTTTCGATGAAACACTGTAGTACTGAAATTCCATATAATTTCTGTGGTAAAACTGGTGAATTTTGAAAGATGATGGACTTAGAAAACATTTTTGATTAGCAATGGATGATGTGACATTAGTCATAAGCAATCATGGAAACTCTTAAGGGTCGATGGCCAAAACATTTTTGAGAAATATCAACCAAGGGAACTATTATAATAAAATTTACATATTTGCCCTCATATAGTTTTCATCTTATTTCTGAAAAGAAAATAAGATATATTGTTCCTCTGTGTAATTCTATCTATCCTAATGTTTAAGTACTTTAAAATTTTAAATGAATGGGTGATTCACCATTCTTCAGTTCTTACCAAACCTTCATTTAACCATTATTACAGATAGGTTAGGAAAGTCATATCTCCTCTTCAATATACACGTGTGTTAAGCAAGTACATATAGTAGTCTTTCCTACACTATACTGACAGTCTTGTATGCAGCTAAATTACCACACAAGACCTATAAATATTGTGATTTATTTGACTAATGTAAAATTGGTTTTCAGAAACAACATTTCTCACATCAGTAGAAAATTTTAATTAATGATATTGTTTTCTTATGAAATAGAGAATGTTTATTTCAGTTACACTGGGAAAATCAAAAGCAACCAATTAATGGGCCCTCTATAATCTGATTTTTTTGGAGGGAGGATATGATCAATATATTCTAAACAACACATTTTTAAAAGAATTAAAAGAGTAAATTATAACGTATAAATAATTATTTTTAAATAAGTAAAAATAAATAATTATGGGAACTAATTACAAATGTAATTCAAATATACTTGAATTACAGTTCAAATGTAATTCAAATATATTTGAAATGTATTCAAATATACTCAAAAATTGTTTTTTAGGTATGTTTGGGTCCTATTGTTTGAGGAATGAAGGAAGCAGGATAGGACAGGGGGAAAGACACTAAGCCAGTTGGAGACCGGCTTTAGCCTGACCCCACAAGGAGTGCTGGAGTAAGATTTGCACGACAGAATTTGTCCACTGGAGGCAAGGTGGCTGGCATTATGTACCCTCATCGTCAGTCAGTCATTTACTGCAGTTTTCAGGGCTGTGAGGGGAGTGGGTATGTTGCAGAGAACTGAAGCTCTTATTCTGTAGAGTGC